TCTGACCCCTGTTACCTGAGGCCTGTCAGTCATGTTGATTCATCTGGACGTGTTTATTTACCTATTCAATTAGTGTGTGGGCGAGGATACAGATGGTGATGATGTGATTGGGGCTGAACAAATTATTCAATTTATCGATGTGGTCATTGACAGAAAATGAATCCCCAAATCGTTTGACAATCTTACTTTGTTTTAAGTAATTTGTTCAAGAACATTTTTTTTTTTCTTGAGTCAAAATGATTAATCTTTAATTAAAATGTGACCCAATAATAAAGCCCATATTAGCTGATATGATGTTCCCGTGTAATGCATCAAAGACAAACTAAAAATGTTGCGTTCAGGGTTATTTTTGACTGCAGGCGCTCTCACTGTGTTCTTTTATATGAATACAATGCATCTTTCCATAATGATAATGAGAATGGAGGTGGTCCTGTTGTTAGCCTATTAAAAAGTCCTCCATGGTTCTGAGCAGCCACTAATAACCCCACCAGGGATTACTGTACAGCAGGCTGGAGGACAGCAGGGCACCAGTTTGGGCCCCAGCTTGCTGTCAACCAAGAGAGGCCGACCCCATAGACCCCCATTCACTCCCAGTCTTAGTGGGGCCACCACGCCAACTCTGGAGCAGCGTGAAAGGTTCCCACTTGGGATACAAAGTGGCTCAGCTGTCCCTCTCCTATCCTCACCTCCCACTGCGCCCTCCCCTCTACACCCAAGCCAAATAAAGCCTCTCAGCGACTTCTGTTTTCCTAATCTGTGAACTCTGACAGAGGAGCCCACGCTTGAAAGAGAGACAACTCAACATGGGATGATCTCCCGGTGACAGAGAGAAGCTGAAAAAACGTTGCTGAAACCACCGGACCACCCTGTCATCTTCCTGTTCCTGTCTCTCTTTCTCTCTCTATTCCTCACCCACCTCTAATTTCCCTTCCTTCTGCCCTCCATCATCTACCTTCTCTAATTGCGCTGTCTCAGTTTGATTAAATCCCTTGAATACGTTCCGATAGCCAAATGGCCTGAGTAGCCTTTTTAGGTGAGACACGACTTCTTATGCAGGGGGGCTTCCACTCTAAAAGTCCCATATGTTTTCATCCATTCACATACTGTGTCCATAACACTAATGGGCAAGTCATCTAGAGTAACACTGCAGTAGCTTAGCCAAAGGGGGTTGTAGCACGTCGGCACAAGTACATTTTCCTCGCCATTAATCCACAGAGGAATGCTGCAGTGATGAATTGGCTTTACTGTTTGTATTTATCACCACACTCCCAGCAGCCATTCACTTAGAAATGTCTGAGCTGCTGCAGGAACAGTTTGTCTTTTAGCTTGTTCTCATACTCTGATACCTATGACACTTTATGTGCTGTAATGTGTGTATATTCCATGTTATTGTGAATCAGGAAGCATAAAAAGCAAGGGAGATGGTTTGGGTCAGGAGACCGCTGTTAGTAGAGAGCAGTTTTGTTGCCTAAATGGAACTAACTTGTGTGCTTTGAAGACAACTTTTATGTTGAACCGATTATGCATGTTGTAGCGAGGGAAAGTGAACATTCAAAGGTTAATGCACAAAATATGAGGAAAAACGTTTTGTAACATCAGACAAACCACTGTATAATAAGTTGCTTTTAACATATTATGCTGTTGCAGGTTTTTGGTATTAAAAACACAGATTGAAAACGGATAGGTTGCTTCATCTCTGTGTTGCTTACTTAGTTGATTAAATCAACTAAACGATAAGTCAACAAGAATTTATTTTGGCAAGAACGGCCTAAGAAGCTTATATCTTAGAAAAGTTGACAGGTTTTACTTCATGGATTAATTCTTGATTTATACAAGCAACAGTCTGACATTTGACAAATAGGCTTTTTAGCTTCTGTGCTGAATTAGATGAGAAGATCGATACATGTTTGTAAACCTAATATGAAGCTCCAACCAGCAGCACTTCAGTGTGGTATTCATTGTCTCCTTCAGAAAGAGGGGCCTGCAGCTGTTGCTACTTCAACCACATTTAATGAAAGACAATGTCTGCCCCCACTGAGGGAAGATCGTTGCTTGTTAAATACTCTGTCAATGCTGAAAGCAAAGAATTGTTCTGGCTGAAACAGATTCTAAGTATCTAAAGGTCAGCCAGCTACACCACTGTGACATCCTGGCAAAGCTTCACGGATCCAGCAAGATTTTGTGGAACTGGCTCAGTGTTTATAGCAATGTGGAAGACGTTTCTTATAAAGAGCAGCTCTTTGCCAGAGCATAGTGTTGCTGGAGCGCCTCCGAGAAGCCCTAACACTTGCTGCGAGGCTAGCTTCTATTTCAGAGGGCGTACAGAGTTGAATTAAACAGCCGTGTCACTGTTCTCTCTCTGTTTAACCTACAAGCTCATCTGCCAGACGCGCCTGACAGCACCAGACTCTGGGAGAATCTCCCAGCAGGCCCGGCGGCACACGGACCGCACCATATTTAGTCATCCGAAGTCCAGACACAGACCAACGCTGTCCTGCACCTTAATCTGCCTCCAGTCTCTTTCTCTCTCCATCTTTCCCTTTCTCGTTTTAAATGTCCTTCCTTTGACTCCCTCCCTCCATCTCTGTCACTTTCCCTCTCTCTCTCATACTGCTTCCATTCATATCTGTCCTCGCTCGCCCTCGAGTCATTTCTGCTTTATCACTGTCCCTCGCTGTTTCTCTCCCCCTCTTTTGGCTCTTATCTACTGAAACTCTTCCTTGTGCCTGTTTGTCCTCTCTTTCAGTCTTAAGTCTGTAAGCATGTTTCCTGCCTGCTTTCCATTAAACTTCCTCTCACTCCCTCAACAGCATACCCATCAAATACTGTCTGAATAATTCCCTCTCTCCATATTTTTCCCTCACCTGTCATAAAGTCTACTCCTTCCTCCCGCTCCTTCACACCCCCCCTTCTTCCCCTTCACAGCCTCCCCACTGTCTCTCTTCTCGGATGAACATGCTGCTGATGGAAGCTGGGCCCGGATGCTAATGAGTTGCTAATTCTATCAGCCGGCTCCCGTGCCCCCCCCCCCCCCCCCGGTGGGTGTCGGGCCCGCCAGCTTTACCGCGGCCAGCCTTTTGATGGAGTGCCTTGGCTGATGAACTCCCGCCTGTGTGCCCACTTTAACCTCCTCGTCCTCAGACACATGTCATTGATCAATGGCCTGATCCGTCCTGGCAAAGCCCACTTACTCCAATCCTTTATGAGTAGGCCCATTTCCATGCACTCCATTTTTCATATATGATGAATATTGTAACAGCATAGCACTTTTTTTGTGTTCAAACTTCTTGGGCTACCTCAGCATTACAGGAAATACACACGTATCCCTTTAGTTCAAAATAACCTCCAGATATTTGAATTTTTCTTTTTGTATTATGGTCACATTTCTATCATTGCCATAAGAAACAGCTGTGCCTCCGCTATTTCTTCTCCAAAGTCTTATGCTCGGTATAATTCCCTCACACTATTTTCCCTTGAGAAGGGGCCAAATGGCTGGGTTTAAGCACTTGAACACAGAAGACTGCTCCTATTTACCAGGCCACTGGGCCCTTTTTTGAGGGGTTGCTAGCTTTGGACCCCTCACATAAGAAAAGAACAAAACTTTTGTTTTTCCGTCTCCCCTTAAACCGTCTGTCTGCCTTCCCCGCTTGACTGAAGTGGATACAGAGGCGGCCTTTTGTTCTACGGAGATGAAGAGCGATGCTGTAGTATAAGAGGGAGAGTGAGGGTAAGAGGAGGTGGGTGGGATTCATTGTCATTTAATAAATACCTCGCTCAGAGGGCTGGGGTGCCTTCTCACCCCCTCAGCTGTCTGTTTTGAAATGGGGCTCTTCTGGATTTGACACCCAGGGAAGTAAAAAGGGGATTAAGGAAGGAAAGTCTCAGGCTATATATATCTCTTTCTCTGTCCTTTTCTTCGCCAAAAGGCTTTACCGCCCCCCCCCCCCTCCTTCAATCTTTCTCTTTTTGGAACAGAGAGGCCCCTCGCCTAGCTGTGAGCGTATGAATGATGTCATCCAGGTATCTATCTTGACCCAGAGATTGTGAAAGGCTTGAATGGAGTCTCATAGCCTCAGTATAATCCTAAGCAGCTATCACTTTTGGAGAATGTTCTGCTTCAGTGAATGAAGATAATGCTTCCTTCTCCAGGGTCAGCACTGTGTAACAATAGTGCTGCAACGGTTGATTTCCCATCAAATTCGTAAGAACTTGAAAAGTAAAGCCATGTCTTCATATATAAAAATAGTTCCCTTTTTTTCAAAACATAACCCTGAAGCAGAGCCATGACCAGGGTCACACACGGTCCACTGCTTTGCAGAATAGCCAGGGATTATGGGGTGGCTTCTGCCATGCTGCTGAAGCATGACCAGAAAGCTTTGGTCAACTTTTGACCTGAATGGAAGTCCTGAATGAGAGGCCGGCATTCAAATTCAGGATGCAGTCACTTGCAGCGACTAATGTCTCTCTTTAAATGGTCACATCCTTTCTCTTGGGGCCCCTGTCTAACTGTCTTATCCTTTGACAGGCTTTTAGTCAATGAAAATATGCACTTGCAAATGTACAGTACAAGATACAATTTAATTTCCTTCCTAAGGTAAAATGTAATTTAGCTTGGAAGATGGTCAAAGTTGTTTTATACAGTCGGATTAGACCAGAGTTACATTCTATTGGATATCCTATTATGGTAAAAATATGTCCATGACATTGACCTTTTCTGTTTGTTTCTTTTTCTTGCAGGAAGGCTCTGGTCAGCCTGAAGTGAAGGGTCACTGAGCTCAGACACTTCGCTTCCACTGACTCACAATTATACACACATAGGGGAAAAGTCACACACACAGACACATCTGCACCACGACATCCACACTCACCCTCACAGACTTTTGGGGTACACACCCGAAGACACTGCATTAACGAAGACACACACACACACACACACACACACACACACACACACACACACACACACACACACACACACACACACACACACACACACACACACACACACACACACACACACACACACACACACACACACACACACACACACACACACACACACACACACACTCAGGCCCTCTGAGCAGGATGGGGGAACCCTGGAGGTGCCTGCTGGTCCTGATCCTCCTGACATGCTCAGCCTTCAGCCACAGCGCCATCAACCCCTTCTCAGGGCAGCAGACCCCTCCGGACCCTTGCTATGACGACCAAGGCGCAGCCCGCCGCTGTATCCCCGAGTTTATCAACGCTGCCTTTGGCAAGGAGGTGATGGTGTCCAGCGTCTGCGGCCGGCCTGCATCCCGGTCCTGCAGCGTTGTGGAGCGGAGCGACGATCGGCCATCTGTGCGCTCGTGCCAAATCTGTGACGCCGCGGACCCTCGCCGTGCCCACCCAGCTTCCTACCTCACTGACCTCAACTCAGCGCACAACCTCACCTGCTGGCAGTCGGAGAATCTGAACACCTCGCCACACAACGTGACTCTCACCCTTTCACTGGGTAAAAAGTTTGAGATCACCTATGTCAGCCTGCAGTTCTGTTCACCTCGACCCGAGTCCCTGGCCATTTACAAGAGCATGGACTACGGCAAGACCTGGATGCCCTACCAGTTCTACTCCTCGCAGTGCCGTCGTTTGTACAATCGGCCAAACAAAGCGTCCATTACCAAGCAGAACGAGCAGGAGGCTTTATGCACAGATGGCCACACCGACCTCTACCCGCTGTCTGGAGGACTCATCGCGTTCAGCACTCTGGACGGACGGCCTTCTGGCAAAGACTTTGACAACAGCCCCGTCCTCCAGGACTGGGTGACTGTCACCGACATCCGCGTGGTCTTCAGCCGGCCCCAGCTTCCCCGGGAGCAGGGACTGGGGGCTGCGAGCAACAGCGACGACCCCATGGCGGTGACATCGTCGCTGCCAACTTATTTCTATGCAGTGGGAGACTTCCAGGTGGGCGGGAGGTGTAAATGCAACGGACACGGCTCCCGCTGTCTGAAAGACAAGGAAGGGAAACTGGTGTGTGACTGCAAGCACAACACAGAGGGCCCTGAATGTGACCGCTGCAAGCCCTTTCACTACGACCGGCCGTGGCAGAGGGCCAATGCTCGCGAGGCCAATGAGTGTCTGGGTAAGCCTTTCTCACCATTTGTCATTCTTTATATGCTTTTTAACATGTTTCAGTTGTTCTGCTGTGGGACATACTGCAGATTGCTTTTTGACTGAAATCATTACAGATCATTTATGAGAACTTACATTTGGTGCAAGAGGTGTTCTGGGAAGCGTTTTCTTTTTTACATTAGAAGTAAAATTACATTATTTATTTTTTATAAATTAAATGCTGATACTTAGTAATAGTAAATAAAGTCTGCAAAAAGGATGAAGCTGGGCTAGGTTAAACAAACACAGGAATTTCACCAAACCAAGTCCTTTTTTAAATGTACGTCCTTAACTTAAAACGACATAACAACATTTAAAACCATGATGTTTTACTAAACCTAACCAGAGAGTTTTATGGACAAAATCTACAGCAAACAAGTCATTTGATGGTGTTATGTGTTTGAGTGTGGAGACAGGGTTGTTCGTAAAGGATATAATTTAGCTGTGTTTAATTCAGTGTGAAAAATGTAATGTGTTGAAACCCGCTCTTTCTGCAGCTGCTCCATTTTTAGTTCAAAGCGTTTATGAAAATTAGGACACTTTTAAAAAATCCATGTTGTTCGGCGTTATGACCTTTTCACCACCCACTCAGGATATGACAGCAATGATTTAACTGTGATGACCTGTGTTTGACTGTCACAGCGGTAATTAAGAGAGCTGCCAGAGCATACCGGATAGGTTTGTGTTTGTGCAGGTGAGGAGTTCTGGTAGCACATAGTGGTTGAACTTATAAATGTGGGCACCGTGTCCGAAAACATGAGCCAAACCTGTTCCTTGCATTTCCCATCAGTCCTTTCTATGTGCCGCCCCTCTACAGGGAAAAAAACAACCCTACTTGTAACAAAATTCATGTTTTCTGGACTTGTCTCTTTTTCACGAGCAAGTCTAAACAGTGGATGACAACAGCTCGAGTAATTGGCGCAGCGCTACGGCTAAGTCTTCCAAGAATGTTTTTTGGCAGTGTTTGCCTGTACCTCAAGACATGCTCTGTAAAACCCATCCAGACGTGCTCTGAAAGCTTGCCAAGTAAACATTATAGCAATTTCTGTGGCAATTTTTGTTAATGTAAATGGGTTATATTTATATTGGATTAGGCTTTTATGTGATATTTAGAACATATATTAATTTCATGGCTGTACAAAGATTTAAGACTCATGCCATGTTAGCTATGTGTTTTCCCCCCTCACTCTGGAAAACGTTCTCAAACATGTGGCTGTTTCTTTGGTGGTCATTTTAACAGCATTACTCTTAGTATAAATAGAAATAGGTGGGAACTCATTCAAGTCAATTTTGTTTGTCATAAAAATGTGTGAGCGTAGAAAAATGAAACCGTATTAGCACCCACAGTGCCCATTTGAACCTTTCCCCATAATGACATGAAATTACAGCCAGAGAAAAAAAACCAGGAGCAACACATTGAAAAGCAGTGTATATTTTTCTAACATGTTATAATTGCCCGGTGAGCTGGCCTGAGATCATATTTAGCGTTGAACAGTGCCAGATCTGTTTAAACGGGACAGAGAGTGACAGAGCCAGAGCAGCATTTGGGCCTTTTTAGCACCATAAACCTCCTACTCCAACACTACCTTACTTTGGCTTTTACACCCTCACTTTTTCTTCTCCAAGATACAGGCACACACGTTACACACCTCGCCCCTTCTACAACAATATCCTGTGAATCCCTTAGTGTTTTCTCGCTTAAACTTTTGCACACGCCTTCTTTTAAATGGCCCGTAGTTGTTTCCGAAATGTTACACCCGCTTCCCGTAGGGCTCTTCTCAGCGGGTTTGATATGTCACTTCCATCCATGACTACTGGACTAAACAGCCCCGCTGCACAGGCCAACTCTGATGACCTAATCTATTGTTGATACAGGGCAGTTAAAGCCTATTGCAATTTGCACGCTATACCTGATCATACATCCGGACACGCCAAAAAGTATGTCCCAGACGTCCATAATTTCATGTTCCTAAAGCCTCTTTACAGCTTAGTCCGGTAGAACTGGCTCCAACATATCCTCTGAGTAGCCTTTAAAAGGCCTCTCCAATGTATATTTAAACCCATTCTTAAAATGCGCCCCCGCCCCTTGTTGATTTTTCTCTGCATGCTTTTCTTCCTGACGCGGTGCACAAAAGGGCGGTGGGCTACAGTGCGAGCCACTGTGGCCGCGACGTGTAAGTATTTAGCCCGGGCAAGTGTGTAAGAGTGGCATGTTACAGAGCCAAGGAGTCCCTTAGGTGTCACCAGAGCCTGCATGAGGCCTGCCGGGTGTTTGGGTTGGAGTTAGGGTCTGAGGGGGGCAGGCTGAGGTCACCATCCTTTGCGAGGTGATGACAAGGTTAAGCTGACGGGGGAGATGGTTTGTGGATAATGAGGAATTCAGAGCAGAGCCAAATCAATAGTTGTTGCACACTGAATCTGTCAGTCCTTGGGAAATCGAGTGCCTGGTTACCTATTTCACAACAGTATTGTTAAGATGCTTTCAAAGATGTTGCCATGCTTTGCTCTCACTCGTAGCCGTCCCGACTTAAATCTTCCCCCAGCAGGACAAGAACACTGTCTCTAACAGGGTGGTTTGATTGTTCGCCAGTCTTACTAAATGTTTGACATGCACCGCACCAAGATTACTGTCTGTGCTCTTGGCAAGCTTGTGTACTGTCTGCAGACACAAGCCATGCACACACATGCCCCATCTGCCTCCTCCCTCGCTATGAATCCTGCCTCAAGACATGGGTTTACAAATCCCTGCTCTAGTAGTCAGAGAGGGCAGCCTCGTAAAGGAGCGTGCCTGTTTGTATTGAGGGAGACATGATGGAAAAAGCTGTGATTTATCTGCCCACAGGACAGAATCAGGAAACAGATGGATAAAAGCTATTTGGTTACTGGTTGTGATGGAGTATTGGCTTTTCTGCTGGCATGGTCGATGCCGTTATGTAAATACCTTTATGTTGACTTAAACATGCGAGACGCTGTATGATGCCATAATAGAGCCTGCCAGAGTCACTGTAGAAGATGAAGAGGCCTCTCGTGGAGTCAACGACAATGTGACATCCTGAGTAGATGATAATTTATGGCGGTGTAGGAGCGCTCTGCTTTTGGCTGTGTCTGCAGCCATATTGGTCCCGTTTGGCTGCAGCACCTTTTTATTTTCTCCAGCCCTTCCTTTCCCTCATTTTGGACTGCAGGAAGTCCAGAGTCCTGCTTTGGGACGCTAAGAGTCCAGGGCCAGACATCATCCATCCCTAATGGACCCTTTAAGCAGGTCTGCTCCCAGTGTTGCGCCAGGCACACTGTTATGCATTCATAGCATTAAACACAGAGGTCACATGAAGGCTGTTTGAAAAGACTTTTTGCTTGATTTGCCAGAAATGCAGGTGACCTGCGGTTAGTAGCAGATCCGGGTGTTCCTGCTCTGCTTCAGCGTCTGGGTGTGGGGTTGTTGAATATTTGTAATACTAGGCTTTGACAAATTGAGTCCAGTGGGAAATTAGTGATATTATATTCTGCACAAGAAGCTTCCTTTCAAATGAAATTAATCAACTAAATAAGTATTCACTGCAGACTCTCATTATACATCATGTCATCACCTGAAGGAAATTCCCACAAATTAGTTATTACTTGGGCTGAGCTTTTTCTTGGAAAACTATTAGGGGGAATTCGACAGATGTGTTTCTTAGGGAGCAGAGTACATCGAGTAGAGGTGTGTGTGTGTCAGAGGAAGAGGCCAGAAACACATGGCTCAGAGTAAGCCCTCAGATCTGCACAGATCAGTGGAAACTCCAAAGACCACAGAAGAACAAACTCACTTTTTTCTCTTTTAGTTTCCCTTCCCGACAAGAGGAAGATGTTTTTCTTTTTTATATGCTGATTTCAAAATAGGCTTTTCCCCCCTCCAGAGGTAAGACCGTTGATCCAGTCACCTAGACACTTTTTATGCCCGGTGATCAAGAAATTACCTCACTCTCAAACACACCACACATTAAACAATTGTGGGTTTACATGATATTGGATAACACCATCAACTCCCTGTTTCTTAAACTTGTGTGCTCTTTTTCTTGCAACATTATTTTGCTTGCTCAAAGTCAGATGTAACTCTGAGAGTCCTGCAGCCTGAAATTGTCCTCAATGGTCGGCTGCAATGTAGCTGTCCGTGCCTGGAGGGCAACATGATATGAAGTCAGTGAGATGCCCAATATAGACGGGTAGGGATGAAAAAAGCCAGAGCTGCCTCGATATTACTACATGTATGTGCCATGTTCCTACTTTCGCTAATTGACTTAAAGACCGGCTCCCCCCCCTCCCTCCCTTCCCTCCTCTGACGCTGGAGGCTAACAAGGAACCGACACTTCAATTACTTACAGCGCGACACACAAATGAGCAAGAGATGTTTGTGTGTAGGTGGGGGAGCTGGGAGCTGGGTGCTGAGCGAAAGAAAGTCATTTTGAAAAAGAAACCTCCTGTGCGTTCAAATAATTACACAGGCTAGGAATGTTGTTCTAAAATCAACAGCCCTATGAAATGATGCCTCTGGGGTGGTTAGCGTGAGACGCAGAGGCTACAAACATGAGGCGTGTGAGTTTTGTTTTGGTGGTGTGTGTGTGTGTGTGAAGCAAGAGTAACCTCCATCTGAATGAGACAACAGGATTTCGTTTGATTGGTTTGTCCCATAGCTTTGCTCTTTGCTTGTATTCCCTCTGTCAGTATTGCAACTCTGGTCCTCGGCCAACCCACAAGAGAAGGGATTGATGCTTTTCTCGTTCCATCAAGGCACCCATAAAGGCTCTCTGGCAAACAGGGAACATGGTGAAACAAACGTTAAGGACAGCAAAGTGTCAAATAACAACATTAACGTCAGCCGGGTTTAAACTCTGGATTTTTCGGATATGCTCTGAGGCCAAGTGTGTGCAATAGTGTGTGCATGTGCATCTTTAGTGCATGTGTGAGAGCCACATGTACTATTCTAGTGTGATG